ATATAGTACGAGGGAACGGATGTATTGGGAATAGACGTTTTGCGAAAGTGTCATGAAAGATGGTGCGAAGCTTGAGACTGATGAATGCGTTTTCCGGATAGGGAAGCGTGAAGTAGGCAATATCACCACGGACGTGTTGAAGTTTTAAGGCGGAAAAGCAAGAATCCTTGAAGAATACAGGCTTTTGCAAATGGCAATACCTCAGAAACACGTTGTCGAAGCATCCTAAGAGTTCTTTTGTTGAAACTATACAGCTTATCAAGTAACTGTCGGATTGCTTGAGGGGTATCAATGTCACAGGTAAGCGCGAGGTCAATAGCTTCCTAGTCAACTATTTTATTTCTACGAGTACGCCTACCATGCCTTCTTCGCTTGCGAGGTAGCGGTGCTTGGAAGTAGGAGTTTTTACCCATAGTGAATGGAAGCAGTCCACCTGAAATATTTATGTTTTACTTGGATGGGAAACATTCCCCTAAAATTTCAGTTAGAAATTACTAACTGTTTCTCGAGTTAATAATTTTTCCGCCAAAAATTTTACATGCCGTACGTGAGTATCACACGTACCGGAGAGCTGAATTTGAGATCTTTAAGTTGTACATGGACGGGAAATACACCCTTAAAATTTCAGCTTTCCAACTTTTCTGGTTGCCGAGTTAGCAGTTTCCTTGACAAAACTTCCACGTGCTCATACATGAAAGCCATGCACACTTAGGGGCTGAATTTGAAATCTTTAGCTACACATGCACAGAAAGTATTCCTGCAAAGCTTCAACTCTCTTTCCTTTTTGGTTTCCGAGATCGCTTTCCCGCCAAGAAATTTGAACATTTTTAAGGCGTCCATATGTGGCACCTACTCTTACGCGAATAGTGGTACTAAAATGGGAGGGTCGCACAGGCGGTGGGCACGTATTTTCGAAGTTTCAACCTTCTAGCGTTTCTGGTTCTTGAGTTGAAAGTGGGTGAGGTGCGAACACACACACACACACACAAGCCTCTTGTCAATATGCGTTTTCGCATTTGCATATATGCAAAAACGCATAAAAGTTGCAATAAATAATCATTTCCCGCTGACCAGTGCATCATTCTGCATGCCAGCGGTATAAATACTCTGCCACACAGCGCTGCTTTTCACTTCTCTATTGTCAGAACAATCAAAGTGGCTGCTTCCTCAAATTAGAGACAATGCCTCGAAGTCGACGACGGCAACAACGACGCGCACCAACCCGATCACCACCTGACGAGTATTCCTCGCCAGCTGCGGACAGCAATTACGGCATTCGCAGATCCCGGGAAGGCAGTGAGGTATGACACACACACATGCGCATAAGCTATGATCATTGACTTTAACACCCCTGGATTATCGTACAAATTTTTGAGCAATCGTTAGACGAACACATTTTTAAAAAAACAAAAACTTCTATTTAATATATGTATATATATACACATATATATGTACGAACATATATGTATATATATATATATATGTGAACATGTGTATAAGGAGAATCTCGTCATAATGCGTTTTGCACTTTCATAAGTGCGAAAAAGTATCAAAATCGGCTCTCTCGGAGCATCATCGTATGTAAGCAGTTGACAAAGAAGAGGGCACGCCGCAGAACTCAATGATTTTTAGAGGAATTAGTGAATAACTTGAAACAGATAAGTCGTCAAGAAAAAAGCAGGGTGGAACGAAAATCGGGACCAACAGCAATACGCTGATGATCAGGCGGTGTAACTTTAATTAAAGCAACCACAGAAAGGTTGGCAGCTATGACGAAGGTGCGGAAGTGAAGCGACAGCTAAGTGATAGTGATTCAAGCAGTAGGCTTTTCCCTGCCCAACAACAGTAGGCTGCATTTAGTAAGAGTAGGCTGCATTTAGTAAGACTCACGCAGAGGCGCCAACTTCTTGTAAGAAAAAACTCTTTCCGGGGAAGAAGCCTGGATGGGCTCGTTGCTTTCCCGTCCTCGAATCTTCGTCTTGCAATGAATGAATACACGGCAGGCTTATTTGACGAGCGAATGGTGGTCTATTCGTTTTACAGGCGCATCTGCTCGTACTTTGCCCTGACCGGTCCATTCATCTGATATTATGCCATGACTGGTAGCTTCTCATTTTTCAAAATGGGAACCTTAAAGAACACACAAATCAATTTGTAACTTACACTTATCAAATTTTTTTTCATGGCATATTTGGCAAGTTAGGAAAACTTGTGATGGTTTTCTGGCATCCTTAAAGATGTTTTTTCGGGAATTTTCTTTGCAGGCACCGGGTGGGGAAGGTTCGAGGATGCAAGAAGTCAGACAAATCATCGTCGCATTAAAGGTCATTTCCACTGCTAAACTTCTCGCAAAACAAGTGCTATTTGCCTACAGCACAGCATGCGTGATTTTTCGGATTGAGTGAAAATTGGTTCAGGATAAACTGATGGAGAGACATTTGATGTCAAAGAAGATCACGGAGCTGAACAATGTTCTGGAGAAAATCAATGGTGCGACGAATAAAGTTATGATCGAGGTAAAGCTTTAATGATTCGCATTTCTTTCGCCGAATGTTCAGTTCCCTGAACTAAGCTGAAACAGCACGGTTCTCCAAGCCACTACACACTTGTCTACCTAACCACTTCCGAGAAAAACAACAATTGCGTGGCTGTGTTAGGTGGACGAATTTTTCGCCGCCATTTCTTTCTTGCCATTTGGAAATTACGGTACTAGGTCTAGACTGGTGGTACCAGATTAGACTTATCAGGTTATGGTATCTAGATCATTTGCGGAAATTTCCAGATGGACAACCGAGTGGATGATCTGAACAGGGATTGGCAAAAGCGGCTGCAGAGTCAAAATTTCAAATGGAAGGACCGGATCAGCGCCCTCAGTAATTATGACAACAGGTAGGCAGTGACAGTGGTGAAGCAATCTGTTAGTTAAGGCTCGCGCACAGCTAATAATTGAATAATCAAAAATTTTGTCACCGGGAAAAAAATTAAAGTCAAACGTAGGGTCAGAATTCCCTTCGTATTTCGTTCTCATTCAAAAACGGAAGCATCCGAACAGTAGCTCGAGTTGTAACAAATGCAAACAGCAACCAACCCTAGCAAAGCTGTCGATGGTCCTTTCTTCTGAGGGCTGCTTAGAAGCAAAATGATGTTGGGTGGCTATCATATGAAGTAATTACGTAAATTGGAAAAGGCACAAGTGCAAAAGACATAGTAGCAATACTTCATCTCTTTGAAGAGTAACAAATCCAAAATTCTGCATAGTCGACACGATACGCTGAAATAACATTCGTAATCACCGGGCAACAAGCTTGCTACGTTGTGCTATTGATCGTGGTACGTATGTTTTAGTAGTATAGCTCTGTGAAGAGAGCAGTACTGACTGAGGGCCCGATGCGGCTTTCTCAAATCCTCGACAATTTCCTTTTTTCCTGAAAAATTTAAGAGGAATTTGTGCTATTTAATGGCTAGTATTACATCGGCAAGGCTCTGGGAGAGTTACAGAGCGCCACAGGATACAGCTCGTCCATCTGGCGACTCGTTCGATATTGGTAATTCGATGTGGCGCACCGAGCGTCGCCTCACTGAAATCGTTGATCGTCTCTCATCCATACCAAGAATGGAGAAAAACTTGGAGACGATTATAAAAATGGTCAACCGGAGCTACTACTATCGGCCACATGCCAAAACGGTGAGTTTGAGACAAAGCGACCTTTCTCAAGTTTTTAACAGATCTTTGCAAGCTTTCTAGAATCGCAGGTAGGTAGCCAGGAAGAACTCCGAGAAAGTATTCTGTGTGTCCCAGTAATAATGAAGCTTGGCACCACGATGTTACTGAGTTTAAATATGCACCTAAGCCGAAAACTGCATTTATATCATACTTTCATCAGCTGCAGTTCATAACTTGGCTATCTAGTTATGCAGCTAGTAACTCTTCTAGTTGGACTGACCACTGCTGCATCGCTTAATGATCAACCCCGACATCTGTTTCGTTTTCTGAGAAGGGATTATCGGCTCAACAGTTCTCCGGCAGAAGTACATAATAAGGCTGTACCATTTTGTAATGCTATAGGAAAATTTGATAATTTCAAAACAAAATAATATGAGAAAAAACTGAAATAAGAACTAGTATCAGAGAAGTTAAAACGTTAGTAAATCTCAAAAAATATTCCAGATCAATGGAAATTTGTTGTCATTGCCAACTGATAAAAATGGACCGTCTAGTTCTTTCACAGAGCGTTAATGATGTTAGAAATAGCCCTTAATTAAACTAGCCGACTGCATTTACATATATTATGCCATGTTGCCCAGCACCGACAATAAGCACATTGTCAACCGGCACCAAATTTCGCCTGGAACTACATGTTCTGGATGGTACAAACAAAACCACAGATTCTACTACCTACTTCAAACTCCTCTTTTTCTGGCATTAGCGAAATTTAAAATTCGTGACTGTTCTTCAGGGCAGTCCGCCGAGCGATGTTTGTACAGCTCGCTCCTGCACGAGCCTGCAGGTGCGCGGCATCGCCGATGCGCCCGCGATCTACGGAGTCGTTGAAATGACCGAGACT